TCAAAGAAATAGAATAAACAAAACAAAAATACATGCTGGGTTATCTAAAATAAAATTAAAAATAGCATGCAATCAGGTCCTCAAAAAGATGCTACTCTTGTCTTGAAAACTGCGAATGACGAGGTCAAACTAAACGATTCTTACTTAAGCAAATGGAAAAGAAAGAATCGTGAAGTGAGAAAAAATCATACTTTGTACTTTCCGTCACAGCCCTCTCCTTGTAGTACTTCTGGCGCCATGTAACTTAACGTGCCCATCTGACTTTCTTTGACTGCGGCCGTCTCAAATATGTTCATCAGCAACATTGTAAATAGGAAAAAATGGTGACTGGTTCAGAAAAACGAATTAAACTAACCATATCACTTGGGATACCAGCAGCAATTCCAAAATCTATCAACTTTAGCCTTCCTTTTACAAGCAAAAAGTTTGCTGGTTTCAAATCAGAATGAACAATTTCTAAATCGAACAACTGAGAAAAAGCCCCTTTACGGCGCATAAAAATTCCAGTTACTTCTGTCATGGATAATCTTCACACATCGGAGCATCTCATTCCAGTGATATTTCACAAAGGTGGAGTCAATTTCAGAGCGGCGAGTTTTGAGGAAGGTTGCTAGGTCAATGTCGCCTTTCTCCATTACAACGTACAAAGTATTTTCGGACTCGCGGAGCTCACTGAAGCTGATAACATGAGAAAAAGAAAGGTAAGTTATGGAAAATTCAATACAATGTCAAAGTAGAGATGGTACGTTTCATAGCATTCATAATTGAGTCTTAAGAAGACATATAGCTTACTATTCAATCATTTTGATCACATATGGACTACTCTGTAGATTTTTTAAGAGTTCTATTTCATTCAAATAACATTGCCGCACAACGGGATCATCTCCTAAAGCATTATAAGTAAATAGGCACTGAAATCACGAAGAAAAATTTCTGAGCAGCATACCTAAATCTACCACTTTCAGGGCGCAAACTTCACTACGAGCTTCGTCAAAAACTTCGTACACCTAAAAATTCTGTATAAAATGAGATCTAGTCATTTACAAAATGATGAGAATAAGATGATGTTTGCAAAAAATGATTGCACGTACTACAAAAATGAGATTTGAGATTGTATGAAAACCTATGCGACACCCAACATGAACTTCAGCATATGGATACGTATCAGCAAAAGATTAGTGTTTGAGAAAAATGTCATAATTTAAAACATTATCTGCATTCCAAGATTACTAATCTAATTGAAAAAAAAAGTCAACTCACTCTACTACTACCACCTTTTCCCAGAAGATTTAGCCAAACGTAACTATTGTTGTTAATAATCA